CGTGGCGTGATACTAGTCACGTGACCTCGCTGACGCAACAGTATAGAAATTGATCAAAGCCTTAGAAATTTTTTGGCCCGAAATGTTTCTCAAATGTATAGCTTCAGGGAATCGAGTAGATACGCACATGATAGTTAACAAATACTGGTTCCCCGATCGAGTTTTTGGCAAAGGCCCGATACAATCATACGACTGAAGGGTTCTTCAAATGCTGGGATAGCTTTTAGAGGAGCAACAGGAATTTTCTGGTTAGGTTTTCCGACCAACTGACAGGTATGACAAGTTTTGCGAAACTGAGAAACGTCTTGCATAAGTTTTAGCCAAAAGAAATGCCTCATAACTTTTTCTCATGTCTTCTTGATACCTAAATGACCTCCCATGGGAATTTCATGAGCAACTTTCAGTATTTGTGAACGATATGCTTTGGGAACAACGGCTTGATAAACAATAGCCCAATCCTCTGAAGCTGGCACATCTGTAAGTCTCCATTTCCTCATAATCACACCATTTTTGGAAAAATAACCATTTGGTACTTTCTCCAGTTCATCTTTTGGGAGTGCATATTTAAATAGTGAAAAGATCTGCAGATAATTTTCTTGCTCAGCTATCAGTTTACTTTTAGTAAACGGGATTTCACCAGGTGAATCAAATCCCTCACGTCCATCGTCGTTCTTCACTGAAGAGCCATCAGTAGGAAAATTATTTACAATATCCTCGTCGGATCCAAAGAATGTCTGCGACAAATCTATAATATCGTCCTCTGAAGCCATGTCTATCATTTGTTTTTGGCTTAATTTCTTAGCCTGAACTCGAGTCACAGCATATGAGGGAAACACATCAGTATTCTTATCAACTACCACATCATCCTTAGATGAAACAGGGATCAGCTCATTAACCCTTTTAGGTTGGGCCACAACTCTTCCCCTAGCCAAATTGTTTCCTAACAATAATGATACACCCTTAATTGGCAGAGTAGGTCTAACTCCAACCACATCTGGTCCCGAAACTAGGTCTGATGCTAAATAAA